GACATAGTAAATAATCTTAACCATCAACAATTCAACATCTATCAAGATATCTGTAGGTAGAAAAAGCTACTCAGGTCTTGAGAGATCACATCTTTGACATGGTATTGAAAGATCACTTCTTTGACATGGAAATCTGACTTGAGATTGACTGGAATCAACATTCTCCACATCAAAGTATCTTTCAAACATGGTCGATGCATATGATTTGACATTGTTTACTGCAGCATGCATATTCAGTGTTACAATCAGAAATACATAAAAAGCGAAGATGTTGCAGCAAAACCAGTGTAGATCTCCCATCTCCATAGGCAACCTTGACTAAAGGATAACACAACCAAGTTCAACGTGATACTGTATGATGCTCTGATTACAATGTACATATGCATCTGGATTAACGAGCAGAGAAGTAAACGAGTTCTAGGTAACATAACTAATGTACTTTAACAACTCTACTTCCTCTTAAAGAAATATGTACCTCGTGGTACGGTCAAGGGGAAAAAAAAAAGGTAGCATAGCTAAAAAAAGAGCTATTGCATTCTGAGAATTATATGTCAAGCACATAGACGGATTTCTAGTGGAGATTCAAAGCTAGAAGATAACAAAATCATCCGTTGCGAATTGGTAGAGTTGCCCAGACGCAGTCACCTAACAAAAGCACTCTCCTTGACACTTAGAAGTTAGGATTCACCAACTACTGAAAGTGGGAAACATCAACTTGCATTTTTCATAGCCGCTTGACAACAGAAGTCGACCCAAAAAAATCATCAACTGCAGTTGCTATGAACGAAACCAGACAGCATGGAATTAAGTTGCCGAGCATGGCAAACTCCACCATAACAATTAACAGAGGGGCAGCTTCTGCTCAGATGCTTAAAGCCGTCGCTGGCCACGCCTGCCCTCAAATTTGCAGGAGAGCTGAGAAAATGGAAGCACACCTTCTTGAGTCCATGGCAGTGGTGTTGCTCGGCTAGCGCCAGGATGGTTGCCACATTGCCTGCATTGATGTACTCACACAACTTCTTTTTTCACATAACAGTTTCAGCCTCTCCAAGTTGTATTTGTCCGCAGCGACCAGTAGGTGCAGAGACAAAACGTCTTCATCGTCGTCTTCCACTTGTTGCATCGTCTTTGTCTTTGGGAATAATAAGTCTGTGTAAACGAAGTAGAGCAAAGCCTTAACACCCGAGGTTCCATGTCCTCTATGTGCACCACACCGCCTCCGGTGTCGCTCTCTTTCATTGCACCAAAGAGCTCTGCACTGAAGACAGGCGAACGGGCTGCGAGCACGCACCGGTGTGCAGCGAACGTCTCACCGGCGACCTCGAACACCACATCGGCGCCCTTCTCGGTCAGCAGAAGACCGCCAAGATGCTGGTGCAGGTCAGATGGGGGCACGGAGATACTATCGGCCGGAGTGGTGGCTTCCGGCACCTCCGCCGTCCAGAATTCGGTGGTGACGACCACATCGCACCGAATGGCAAAAGAATCGTCCCGGAGATGCTTCGACGCTTCAAAATCTTCCCTTTTGGTGAACTCAGAGCGTCCCCATCCACTCTGGTCATCGAAGATATGTACTCCTCCCAGTGCCAACGGCTGCTCCGCCACGTCGCCGACGAAACGGAACTTACTGCGCCTCCGCTGCCTTGGCGACATTGTCGTAGAGATGAAGATAAAGCGAGATGTAATCTTTGGCCTCCGACTTGTTGCCGTTGGGGTAGTAGCGAATGTACCAGCGTGGCCGCCCATGGTCAACGGGATGGACGCGATGTACTTTCCTGTGGGTTTCGCAATGGTGCGGGAGTAGCCATCGATCTTGAGGATGTGGTACCCACTCGCGGTGTTGGCGACGATGGTGGATGCAGACCGCGACGGCTCGCCGCCTCCAGCCATCGGGTACATGGCAAACCTGATGATCTCTATCTCCCTCTCTGACCCCCGCTCCCCTTCTCCGCCACAAGTCCTATCGAGTTCTCTCTTCGCCGCGGCCCACGCACTGATTTCAGCTTAGACACCACCGCCACTGCATCCGTAGGGAGTAGGGTTTGGCACGAACCGGCGGCGCGGAAAGGGGAAGACAAAATGGCGAAGGAGTCGATGGGTCGTCGCCGGCTTGAGTGCTTCCTAGCGATGCTGTTGCCTGTTGGGCTCTCTTTTTTTAGGCCGATTTATATAGTTCTTTCAAAAAGAAAAAGTCTAAATTACCTCCCAACTTTCGCGATAGTACGTTTTTCCTCCCCAAACTCTAAAATCGGGCAAAACACCTCACTCAACTTTTAAAACCGTTCATCTTACCTCCATGGCCCTGTTATAAGCAGTTTTGAAGGCAGTTTTATTTTTTTCTTTTTTATTTATTTCATCTGAATCTTTAAAAAATTATAGTAAATCACAGAAAAATCATAAAATGAAAAATCCAATTTTATTGGACTACACATAATTAGATCTACACAGTGAACATATAATATGATATGCTTTAATACAACATTTTTGATGTGGCTTTAGATCTATGCTTTATGTAATTAAATGGAATAATTCATAGCTGCAGTTTCTATTATCTAATTATGGTGAAATTTTTATGGTGGACTAATTATTGTATGCTTAAATTGTAGTAAAAATTTCATACTCATTGAATCATGTATAACTTAGTTATAGATTTTGTTTAGGTTTATGTTTGTTAAATATAAATAAATCTATAACTAACCTATACATGATCGAATGAGTATAAAATTTTTACTACAGTTGAAGCATACAATAATTAGCCCATCATAAAAATTTCATCACAATTGGACCATAGAAACTACAGCTATGAATTATTCCAATTAATTAAATAAAAACATAGATCTAAAGCCACAGCAAAAACTTTGTATTAAAGCATACCATATTATATGTTAACTGTGTAGATCTAACCATGTGGAGTCCAACAAAATTGGATTTTCCAATTTATAATTTTTCTATGATTTACTATGATTTTTCAAAAATTCAGCCGAAATAAATTAAAAAAAAAGAAAAAAGACAAAACCAACTTCAAAACTGCTTATAATAGTATCAGGGAGTTAAGATGAACGGTTTTAAAAGTTGAAGGAGGTGTTTTGCTCGGTTTTGGAGTTCGGTAAAAAAAGCAAACTTTCGCAAAAGTTGTAAGAAGTAATGTGGACTTTTTCCCCCCAAAAACACAAGAGCAGCCCAGTTTGTATTATTGGGCCGAAAGATGGGCCCGTCGAACAGGCTCCGACCCTCTCTTCTGTCTAGCTCGGACTCTGCCTCAATAATATTTGTTTTCTCTGATGAGATGTGGATTATTATAATGGCAAATAATAGAACGGGTGCAAATCAATCAAATCAATCTGAAAACTCATTGGAACTGAAAATGGAGAAACGGCGATGGTAGATGACCACTAGATGTTGATCCAATGAATGGGGTGAGAGGGCTTAAAAAAAAGGGTGGGGGGGTTTAAGCTCGGGGATCCGCCATTTAAAAAATCGCACCTCTCACCCCATCCATTAGAGCGAGGCGAAGAGAGAGAGAGGTTTGATGCCCCTAGGCTTCCACCGCCGATCCGAAAATTGTTCAATCCAGGTTGGTTGGTTTACACGAAAGTGCCAAATCGTTGCCTATTATAATGATAAAAATAAGATCCCTCAACCAGGTAGATGCTCTAATGGCGAAAGTGCATGCTCTAAAGGAAGGGTTGATGTTAGCCCAACATACTGGAGGCAACCGTCTGATTGTTCAATCCGACTATATGGAAGTGATTGAAATTATGAGGAATGAAGGATTCACTGTTAATTCAGCTGCTGCAATATATGATGAAGACATTGTTTGGGGTGGGACATGAATTAGCTAGGCGAGCTATGCTTATAAAAGAAAATTGTATTTGGGACGATGATCCCTCTAGTTTATTGTTACTTTCTTATCAAATGATGTAACTATTCTCAATCAATAAAGCTAGCTGTCAAAAAATAATAATAAATCTCCCACTCCTCCGCACTTCAACACTGTAGCGAACGTTGTTGTATAAGTGTTCTTCACTGTACCTGTAGCATGTACTGTCTCATCGTACGGTTACCGTAGTACGACGTACTCTAGACTTTCCCAGTAAAAGCTAGAATTGAATTAGATAGAATGCTAAGATCAAATTAGAAACAAAAGGAGGTGTCATGTGAGCACATTGGTGCTGAATTACCTTGAACTCTTAAAATCGTCCTAAATTTACTATGCTTACAAGTTATGGTAAGACAGTAAATAATCTTAATAACTATCAACAATTCAACATCTATAATGGTATCTACCGGTAGAAAAGGATACTCAGGTCTCGAGAGATCACATCTTTGACATGGAAATCTGATTTGAGATTGATTGGAATCAACATTCTCCACATCAAAATACCTTTTAAACATGGTCGATGCATATCATTTGACATTGTTTGGATTGAATATATCATTTCAATTTTACTGCAGCATGCATATTCAGTGTTACAATCAGAAATACATCAAAAGCGAAAAATGTTGCAGCAAAACCAGTGCAGATCTAAATCTGCATAGGCAAACCTTGACTGAAGGACAACACAACCAACTTCAACGTGATACTGTATGATGCTCAGATTACAATGTACAGAGAAGTATATATGCATCTGGTATCTTGATTAACAAGCAGAGAAGTAAACGAGTTTTAGGTAACATAACTAAAATAAAAGAGCTATTGCATTCCAACTTCTGAGAATTATATGTCAAGCACATAGACGGACATAGTAGAGATTCAAAGGTAGCAGATAACAAAATCATCCGTTTGCAAATTGAGGTAGCAGATAACAAAATCAACCGTTGCGAATTGGTAGAGTTGCACAGACGCAGTCAACTAACAACTTAAACTAGTTTAGGATCTCCTTGACAATTGGGAGTTAGGATTCACAACTACTGATTACAGAAAATGGGACACATCAACTAGCAATTTTCAAAGCCACTTGACAACATAAGTCGACCCAAAAACTCATCAACTACAGTTGCTAAACGAAACCAGGCATCATGGAACTAAGTTGCCGAGGATGCATGGCAACCAACTCCACCATAACAGAGGGACAGCTTCTGCTCAGATGCTCAAATCCGACGCTGGCCACGACTGCCCTCAAATTTGCAGGAGAGCTGAGAAAATGGAAACACACCTTCTTCAGTCCATGGCAATGGTGTTGCTCGGCTAGCGCCAGGACGGTTGCTACCGTGCCCACATCGACGTACTCACACAGCTTGCTTTCACATAACAATTTCAGCCTCTCCAAGCTGTATTTGTCTGCAGCCACCAGGAGGTGCTGAGACAAAACGTCTTTATCGTCGTCGTCGTCGTCTATGCCTCCCTCCTCCGCTTCTTTCGTCAGTAGGTGCTGAGAAAAAACACCTTCTTCTTCGTCATCGTCATCTACATCTAAGTCTACCTCTTCCACTTCTTTCGCTGTCTTTGTCATTGGGAAATGGGAATAAGTCGGTGTAAACGAAGTAGAGCAAAGCCTTGGACACCCGAGGTTCCATGTCCTCTATGTGTACCACACCTCCGGTGTCGCTCTCTTTCATCGCACCAAAGAGCTCTGCAGTGAACATGTACAGGCGAACGTGCTGCGAGCACGCACCGGTGTGCGGCGAACGTCTCACCGGCGACGTCGAACACCACATCGGCGCCCTTCTCGGACAGCAGGAGACTGCCGAGATGCTGGTGCAGGTCAGATGGGGGCACGGAGATCCTAGCGGCCGCAGCAGTGGCTTCCGGCGCCTCCTCCACATGGAATTCGTTGGTGAATACGCCGAATGGCAAAGGAATGGTCCCGGAGATGCTTCGACTCTTCCAAATCTTTCTTTTTGATGAACTTGGGGTACCCACAATACTCCGTAAAGCTATGCGGTCCTCCCAGTTCCAACGGCTGCTCCGCCACGTCGCCGACGAAACGGAAATCGAACTGCGCCTTCCTGGCTTGGCGACGCTGTCGTGGAGATAAAGAAAAAGCGAGATGTAATCTTTGACCTCCGACGTGCAGCCGTTGGGGTAGAAGTAGAAGCGAATGTACCAGCGATGGCCACCCACGGTGAACGGGAGGGACGTCAGGTGCTCTCCTGTGGGCGTCGTCGCCAAGGTACAGGAGTAGCCATCGACCTTGAGGATGTGGTACCCACGCGCGATGTTGGCGACGATGGTGGAGGCAGACCGCGACGGCTTGCCGCAGCCAGCCATGGAGGCCAAACTCTTCGCCGCGGCGCACGATTCACTGATTTCAGCTTAGCCGCCACCGCCACCGCCACTGCTTTTCGTAGGGTTTGGGCGTTTAGCACGAACCGGTGGCGCGGAAAGGGAAAGACAGGATGGCGAAGGGGCCGAAGCCACTGGAGTTGTTGCCTCTCGCCGCCTTCCTTCTGCTGGGCTTTTTTTTCAGTCCGGTTTACACAAGAGCAGCCCAGTTTCTAAATTGGGCCGAAAGATGGCCCCATCGAACAGGCTCGGCCTCTCCTCTCCTCTGTCCAGCTCCTTTTCCGTGATGTGATGGTGGAAAGATTTTTTTTCTCGAATACCAAAGAGCCTTACGTATCTTTGTATTAAGAATGACGAAGTTGTATGTTACAAGGATCAGCGATTGAGGCTTCCATGAAGCAGCGACCATTCAGTTCCTTCCATAGTTGCCAAGAGACTAGGGCAAACAGTGAATCGATGTCGTCTTTCTGCAACCCATGCCAAGCGGCTCTCAAGCATCGCCACCAGCCGATCACCGAGTGTTCCGCCGGCGGTAACTGTCAGCCAAGCCTGACAGATATTGAACCATACCTCCCTCGTGTAGGGGCAGCAAGAGATGAAGTGGTCGATCGTTTCTGGTGCCTGGTCACATATAGCATTCTTCTCTCGCTTCCGGGCCGTGTCTTGCTCGCCGGTCACCCGTCCAGTGTCGTCCCAGAACGCCAGCCAAAGAAAGATCTTTACTCTCAGCCGAAACCGGACATGACTCCACCCTGACCTCAACAGTTGGTTGCGCTTGCGCCCGAGCAGCCGTTTGCAGGCTTCCTGTCATCAATGGTGCCAATTAAGGTATTTGAATGCATTTCAGCAATGGATTTCTTATTGTCTTCGATACATATGTACGTGCTGGTGAATATTTGCGTCAAGTGTATAAGGAATATGCTTGTTCCTCTAAAAATAATTTCAACAGACAGTAACATGAAACATGCAATTCCACCCAGGTATTGTCATATGGGGCCATGGCCAGGGACGCGCGCAGAAGCGAAGAGGCGAAGATGATGCCATGCCACGCGAGAAGAGGGCAATGGAAGATCAACACATGCGAACCAGGCAAAAGCGGGCTGGACGCGGTCACCAGAATGCATGCGGAGACCAGGCAAGAGCGGGCAAGGCCATGCATGCGGCTGGACGCGATCACCACGCGAGACCAGGCAAGAGAAGACCATGCACAAAGCTAAATTTAATGGCTCTTACACCGATGGAGCTGAAGCTATTTTGGTAAACTGTTAGGCAAAACGGCTTCACCTATCAATCATGCATGGCCGAGAGAAATCAATTGTCCAAGATGAGACATACATGTGTAGTAACATTTGCAGCTGTACGCTTCTTTATATTTTTTCATTCGAGTAAATTTAAATTTCAAAATTAAAATTTCAAAATTAAAAATTAAAATTAAAATTAATAATTAAAGATAACATGAAGTATTAGCAACTAATATGCCCATGCAAATATGCAAATGCGCACATTCACGGAAGACGAACAGAAATATGCCCATGCACGTACAGACTGCCGAACAGAACTCGCGAACAGAACTTCAGGCGCGGCTCTTTTTCTCAGTGGCAGATTGCGTAATTTCGTCAAATCCCAAGGGTATTGGCGCATGGGCCCGGAGAAGAAGTCGGAAGAAGCCATTTTTTTTTTTTTTTCTTCATCCCACCTTAAACTCACGTGAGAGCATGTTTTTAAGGGCTTCACCAGTAAGCCATTTCATTTTACCCCGTTTGGTAGAAAACAACACCAAATGACTCCTGAAGTTGGTGGAGAAACCCACCAAACGGGACCTTAGAAATCATTTTCATCTCTAGTGGCTGCGCATGTAGTTTCATCTCCAGGTTGTTACTGGCCGCGCATGCAGTAGAGGCCGTGAGCCTATTTATCCTTTATAACACGCTCGGTTTGGGTCACACAATAACAATATGTCTATTCCTAGACTGCTTTCTTCTTCCTAATCTCACCCCTTCAAGAATATGGCGCTAAGAGGAAAAACCTCGACCCAACCCTACAGATCGAGGCTACGAGTTGCGTAGCCGAGGTTTAGCTATCCTAGACCTCGATGCCCATGACGGTATCCCTAGCGCCATTGGCAAGCATTCTTCAGCAGCTCTCGTGCTCACGTTGACGGCAAGACAATGACGAGATAATTCAGTCCGATGGTAACAGACTAAATATGTGAGAATAAGCTCATAATTTTACCTATGCTGACTCATATGGATTGCTCTAATTAATGGACACGGCGTTACTAATATCAAGGCTGGTGTGTGTGGCAAGAGAAGAGCAAGTTATATGTTGCAGGAGTGTGTCCAGCTGCTTGGCCAGGTCTCTCCACTGCAGGTAATAGCATGCCTTGGGTTTATATGGTAGCACGGGCTCCTGCCAAGTCTCATTGTTTGATAACAATCTGCAGGTGGAGGAACAGAACTTGCGCAGTCATCTACTGCAGTCGACATCAATTATTGCTGTGATCGTGAAATAGTGGAGGCAAGCGCTTGTACACAGGCATTTTGGTTGTAGGACCAGCTCCAAACGTGCTCGACTTTTCCAGTAAAACTAGCTAGAATACAATCATAGCCATATACGTTTAGCAGTTTAGGTAGAAGGCTAAGATCGAATTACCCTTGGAGTTTGAAGTCTTAAAATCTTCCTAAATTTACCATGCTTACAAGTCTTAAAATCTTCATAAATTTACCATGCTTACACAGTAAATAAAATCTTGACCATCAACACCTTATAATAATATCTATTGTTAGAAAAAATACTCACAATGACATGGAAAATCAGATTTAAGATTGATTGGAATCGTCATTCTCCACAGCAAAATATCTTTTAAACATGGTCCATGCGTATGATTTGACATTGTTTTGATTGAATATATATTTCAATTTTACTGCAGCATGCATATTCAGTGTTACAATCAGAAATACATCAAAAGCGAAGATGTTGCAGCGAAACCAGTGTAGATCTCCATCTCCATAGGCAACCTTGACTGAAGGACACACCACAACCAACTTCAACGTGATACTGTATATATGATGATCTGACAACAATGTATATATGCATCTGGATTAAGGGGGTGTTTGGATCCCACGACTAAAGTTTAGGAGGTGTCACATGGGGTGTTCGAATACTAATAAAAAAACAAATTACAGAATCCGTCAGTAATCCGTAAGACGAATTTATTAAGCATAATTAATCCGTCATTAGTACATGTTTGCTGCAGCACCACATTATCAAATCATGGACTAATTAGACTTAAAAAATTCGTCTCGCAAAACAGTCTCAATCTATGCATTTAGTTTCGTAATTAGTTTATATTTAATACTCCATATATGTATAAAACATCTTATGAGACAACGACTAAAGTTTAGGAAGCATAGAAGTAAACGAGTTCTAGTCGGTAACATAACTTAATAAAAAAACAAGAACCAATTGCATTCGAACTTCTGACAATTATATGTCAAGCACATAGACCGATTTCTAGTGGAGATTCAAAGCTAGCAGATAACAAAATCATCCGCTAAGAATTGGTAGAGTTGCACAGATGCAGTCAACTAACAAAAGCACTAACAGATTCAACTACTTCAGAATCTCCTTGAAACTTAGGATGCACAACTACTGAAAGTGGAAAACATGAACTAGTAGCATTTTTAGTAGCATTTTTCAAAACCGCTTGACAATACAAGTCGATCCAGAAAAACACCAACTGCAGTTAGTGCTTAGATGGAGATCTACATTAAGTGCTGAGCATGGCAACCAACTCCTCCATAACAGAGGGGCAGCTTCTGCTCAGATGCTTAAAGCCGTCGCTGGCCACGACTGCCCTCAAATTTGCAGGAGAGCTGAGAAAATGGAAGCACACCTTCTTCAGTCCATGGCAATGGTGTTGCTCGGCTAGCGCCAGGATGGTTGCCACATTGCCTGCATTGATATACTCACACAACTTCTTTTCACATAACAGTTTCAGCCTCTCCAAGTTGTATTTGTCCGCAGCGACCAGTAGGTGCTGAGACAAAACGTCTTCATCGTCGTCGCCTACGTCTCCCTCTTCCACTTGTTTCATCTTTGGGAATAAGTCGGTGTAAACGAAGTAGAGCAAAGCCTTGAACACCCGAGGTTCCATGTCCTCTATGTGCACCACACCTCCGGTGTTGCTCTCTTTCATCGCACCAAAGAACTCTGCACTGAAGACAGGGGAACGGGCTGCGAGCACGTATCGGTGTGCAGCGAACGTCTCACCGGCGACGTCGAACACCACATCGGCTCCCTTCTCGGTCCGCAGGAGACTGCCAAGATGCTGGTGCAGGTCAGATGGGGGCACGGTGATCATATCGGCCGCAGCAGTGGCTTCCGTTGCCTCCTCGACACGCAATTCGTTGGTGACGACCACATCGCACCGAATGGCAAATGAATCGTCCCGGAGATGCTTCGACTGTTCCAAGTCTTCCCTTTTGATGAACTGACCGTGCCCCCAACCCCTGTCGAAGCTAAAGCTACGCAGTTCTCCCAGTGTCAACGGCTGCTTCGCCACGTCGCCGACGAATCGGAACTTGTACTGCGCCTCCACTGGCTTGGTGACGTTGTCGTGGAGATGAAGAAAGAGCGAGATGTAATCTTTGTCGTCTGACTTGTTGCCGTTGGGGTAGTAGCGAATGTACCAGCGATGGCCGCCCACGGTGAACGGGAGGGAAGCGATGTACTTTCCTGTGGGGGTCGCAAGGGTGCGGGAGTAGCCATCGATCTTGAGGATGTGGTACCCACTGGCGATGTTGGCGACGATGGTGGAGGCAGACCGCGACGGCGCGCCGCCGCCAGGCATGGAGGACACGGCAAACCTGATTATCTCTCTCCCTTTCTGACCCAGCTCCCCTCCTCCTCCCCCAGAAATCCTGTTGAGTTCTCTCTTCGCCGCGGCCCACGATTCACTGATTTCAGCTTAGGCGCCACTGCATTTTGTAGGGTTTGGCACGAAGCGGCGGCGGGGAAAGGGGAAGACAGAACGGCGAAGGAGGCGATGGGTCGTAGCCGGCTTGACTCCTCCTCCAGTCCTCCTCTTCCTACCGCTGCTGTTGCCTGTTGGGCTCTTTTTTTCTAGGCCGATTTACATAGTACACAAGTGCAGCCCAGTTTGAATTATTGGGCCAAAAGATGGGCCACGTCGATCAGGCTCGCCCCGTCCTCTGTTTCGTCCAGCTCGGAGCCTCGGACTCGGGAATCGCGATTCCAGCGGCGGCGGCGGCGGCGGGACTCTAGAGCCTTCCGAGTTCCTCCTGCGTCCCTTCACCTCACCCTTCTCGTTGCGCGCACCACAGGCAAGGCAACTCGACCGCTCACAGAGAATCGAATCATGGAAGGAGGGGGTAGCACCACGCCCTTCTACCACGGCAACACCACGACCCTCGCCACCAACCCTTCTGCTGCTGCTGCGGCTGCGGTATTCCTCTTCCTTGCCTTCTCTACTCTCTAGCCCTAATCTCCATGATGTGAGTTTGTTGCCTCGTCGCAACGGGTTTTCTGGAATCTAGGTCTTTGTGCTCTTTGCCTCGCTGTATGCCTGTATTCCTAGGGAAATCTCTTGTTGCTATGCAGTATGGCTCTGCGCCGTTGCTTATTCCACCCCTCTAGCTTTTGGGGACTCAAGCAACTGTGGATCGAGACATGAGCCGTTATTGTTAATACATAATAATAAAACTGCAAAAGGGGCACTACGGTTACTCTGAGTGAAATCTCGGTTCTGTTTTTCATTTATGCTTCCATTTGTAAAATTGTTTGTAAACTTATGTGAGAGAGATTCTGGAGGGTAAGGTTAAGCTTATATATCCTGTGTGGCTTGAATTTTTTGTGCCCATAGGATTTTTTGCTGGGCTGTGTGAATTTCTAAGCACACAACTGCCTATTACTGCATCTAATTTCAGCTGATGGGTCTGTCTTTTAGTTCACTGACCAAAAGCTGATTTTGCTAGCGAGCAGAATGGGGCACAAAAAGGGGATAGGGAGGCTACCATCGATGCCGAGATAGCGAGGGTTAACAACCTACCAGCTCATAGTTACTACGCGATACACCGCATGAAGGTGCTAAACAAACTTCGCCAGCTGATGTCCATCAAGGTGAGCCAATCTGCTTTCTGAATGAGAGATTTTCAGTAATTCTTGCAAATGTTGTTGTAATTTCATACTTCCTTTTAACAACTCTGTGCTGGTGGTATGTGCCATTGTCTTACTAAATGTGCCCATCTCATCAGTATAGCACATAGTTCAACCTGCTGTTTCATGTATCCTAGTTTTCAAAGAGTTGAATGTTGGTAAAATGCAGTAAATATCGTGATTAATTGATGAGCATCAACATTACATTTATATTTTTTTTTGTAGAACTGGAAGCATCTTTGTGTTCTGTTTCTCATGAAGTTGATCACAGTGATGAGCATCAACATTACATTTGCATATGTTTTTTGTAGAACTGGAAGCATCTTTATGTTCTGTTTCTCATGAAGTTATGATCACAGATCATAATATAAACATCTTTATGTTCTGTTTCTCATGAAGTTATGATCACAGATCATAATATAAACATGAAGTCTATGATCACAGAAGAGCGAGACCCAGGAACGAATACAGACCTCAGAATTTTCAACCATCCTACAAATGAAATTGTCTCATGCCCAGTAGTGGTTATTGAAATTTACTATAGTTGTGCTACCCATTTTCTTTCATGGTAATACGTCTGGCCTCAACGAATATATAAAGAAACCAATTGGATGTAACAAGGGGATGGCCAATGTTTAATAATTGTATTTTCTGTCAGCCAAGTGGCAAACTTATGATTAGAAGTGTAAGCATGGCATTTTGGTATATGCTGTCCTCATTAGCCTTGTTTAGATTAGTGAGGATAGGGCTGAAATTACAATAGGCTTGGGTCAGAGTGTTCCACATCAAAATATATCAGCTAGACCAGTTGGGGACGGAGGCAACTAGAAGCCTCACGTAATTTCTGTATTCTACCTAGTTCTTTCCTGTGTTATAGGCTGCAAAATAGCACATCCAACGTATTAATAGATATTTGTGATGTTTTAATCACCTCGTTTGAGCATGTTCATACATCAGGTTTTTTGTGATTGTGGGCTTGTAGCCTCTGTCTATATGTTAGGAATATTGCATCTACTGTTTAACCAGAGTTAGTGGTGGAAATATGGTTGATGTATCATGGAAACATGATCGAATCATCGAATTGACTAAATGTATTCCATGAGTACCGATCTTGTATTGCACCAAAAAGATTTAGTTTTAACTCACTAAATTCTAGCTCTGTACAGTGCGATAAATGTTGGATTAGAAAAAAACCAGTTGCCCTATTTGCACACATGAATAGAATATGGTTTCTTTTGAGCATTATTATTGCACTCTTTAGGTTTTCCCTTTAACAAGAGCAGATTTTTTTAAACCTTTTTGACTTGTTTCCCCAAAACTCAAAATTGCTAAAGCCATTTCCATGTTTTCGATTTTCCATTATTATGCAACGAAACTTATAATAGTTATAACCAAAAACTTAAATAGCATAGAATCTGCTTATCTAGCCCTACGATCTGAAACGTCACTTTCAACTTCTGGTGATGAGAAAGTTTTGTCCCTGTTTTTTGACTGTTTATCAAGTTCGTTTGACAATTCTCTTTTTCACTTCTTACATTCTCCAATGCAGAGGACTACATCTCAAGATGAGGAGCTTGAACTTCTTTTTGCAAGCCTTTCGATCTAAAGTGTATCCTTGACAAGCCAGTATTTTAACCCTGCTAGGTAACTTGAATTTTGATAATGCGTCTTTTTTCATCCCTATACAGTTCTGAATGTGCGGAGCCTTTTGGTTCTGCAGACCGGGTTGCTTCTCATTTTTATATGTCTAATTTTGTTTCATTCAGGCCAAAATTATCATCTAAGTATTTACTTGCGAGTGATTGTATTTATGTGCAGGGGAGCCCACTGTTCTGACGCATCTACTATTCTGTCGTTAGCTCCCATAACGTGCTTCCTATCATAGGTTCCTGGCAAACTTTGTGTGAGGATGTTGCGTGCTCTGCTCCTCTGGACCTGGACGATGTGGAATGGTGAAAAAAAAAACTTAGTATTGTATTGTATGCGAATGGACCGTTGTAACCATAAGTGAACTTGCTGTCACGGACAAGAATTATATACTTAGCCAAATAACCATGGTATTGTTTGTTGGCTCATTGGATTTGATACCCTTCTTTTTTTTATTAGGAAAGTGCTGGGTCTAATATCTGGTGGTAAACACGGTTCATCCTTCCTATAATGGGACTATTTAGTCTAGAGCCGAAACGAGTTAAAAGGTCATGCAGCGCAAGATATCACAACTAAGAGTGAATGATTCATCCTTCGAAAAATAAAAGAGTGAACTATTCATGTGAAATTCAAATGCAGTATGTTTCCTGAGCAATGACCATTATTTTGTGGGGCAGTGTTCAAATTAAATGGCTTTTTCCGTAGTGATTGTTTTGGTAGAAATTTGAAAGTCAATTTATTTTAATTAGTTCATTCACAATGCTTTGGAGCACAATCGGCAATAACTTCGAAAAAGTCCATTTGACCTTCATAACTTTTATCAAAGTCCAATTTAACTCTTCCAACTGAAAAATCATCTATTTTCTGACCTCCAGCTTTTCAAACCATCTAAATTTGCCCCCTCAAAGTTTTTGAAACCATATGAATTTTCTCCCTCAAGGGTTTTTTTTTCATTCCTCAAATCTGGTAGTCCAAGTTATAGTATCTGAACGTACAACGCACGCACGCACACACTCGACACACACCACTTAAGGTGTACGCTAGGCCTAGAACCTTATACTACCATACGCATAAGCCTACAAGATATTTATGAAGAATAAGCTTCGCTAGCGACGGGCACGTCGCCTCCCATTGTGGTCCATAGACGTCTAAGATCCTGCAACAAGAAAGTGGGGGAAACCCCCCAGTGAGAGACCAATGCCGAGTAGGACTCGAACACTGGCCGGTAGGAAGCCAGCCACCGGCCCCTACCAGCGCGGTTCTCTCCCCTCAACGTTTTTGACTGGCGCGGTGCCATATCAACTATCTTACATGGTGCCATGTTAGCCATTTTATGTGGCATCACATCAGCCATGAGAGGTAAATCAGATGTTTGTTGTCTTGTGTGACACCACATCACCCACAATATGACGCCAAGAGAGGTAAATTGGACCTATGTTAACCATCTTATGTGGCATCATGTCAACCGCAAGAGTAAAATCAGGCTAGTTCAAATATTCATTGGGCTTTAGAAATTTTTTCAAGAAAATTATCAAAATATATTTTGGAAAAAGTGTGCAATTAAAAATCCAAAATCTAGATTTAATCTAGAAAATTTACAGAAATTTTGTTGTAGCTCTAAAAAATACGAAACCAACTTCATGTTTTTTTTTCTAAAATCTTTCTCTCTATTGTGGTGAATTTTGTTCTTCAGTTTTGGTGCAATTTCTTAGTGGAATACTAGTTCAGGATGCTAGGACGTAGACAAACATCTATAGAGTGATCCCACAACAACCCCACGAGCATCTCCAATTTCAGTTTTTTCTTGAGTTCATTCCCTTCTTTATGGTTTTGCCAAAATCCATGAAATCCATGGTAAAGACATTATTTTCAGGAGATCTTTTGGGCAAAGTTTAACCTTGATTATGTGAAGCAATGGTTAAAATTTCTAGGCCCAGTTTGGTTCAAAGGAATTCCGAATTTCAATGGAACTGATTCCTTTGGAAAGGTTTGACAGAAGACCGTTTGGAACAAAAGAAATGCAAACAGTAAAACAGAGGAAAGGGTTGCATATTCATCAATTTCACAGCTGAAACATGCAGTCGGACCTAATCGATTCGTGGAAGCTCGAGGCAACAATCCGAAGCATGCATGAAGAGAACGCTAATTCCTACCCCATCACTGCACATGACCGGCAGGACCTGTTTTTTTTTTTTGGACCTCTTCAGTGAACATTAACATTTTTGTTGTACATATAATAGTATGTGTTTATTTTCTAATTTTCACTGATTTCTGTGTGTTTCGTTCCTGTGTTCCAAACACCATGGTCAGTGGAAATCCTCCATTTTTCCCGATCCTCGGTTTTACTAGTACATTCACATCCAATCCCTGCATTTTTTTTTTCCTTTCTATGTTTTGTACTCCTTGCAGCATCTGATTCCACACATACACGCACAAAAAAACATGGACGCACGTTATTGGGATCACAGCTAAAGCAAGAGGCAGCGGATGCATCAAGCCAACAACGACATCCGGGGCAGGGCCTGAAAGATTAAAAAAAATGCAAGATAAAAGACAACATCTGCCGTAGTGCCCTAGTGGGGAAGCAAAGCGGTGACTCCAAGATGATTGGGGCGTGCCTCCGCAGTCCGCGCCACCATATATGGATGAGTCCATCGCCTGCAGGCTGTGCGCGCGCTATAGCAGCTAGCTCTCACGTCGACATTATCGTCGCAAAGGATAGACAGAGATGGAGCTTTACCTCCTGCTTCACAGCGTGGTGATGCATGTCACAGCTGCGTTGGTGATCCTAGTCTACATCCCGCTCTCCGTTCCGGTGAAGCTGTTGGTGCGGGCGTTCGTGAAGCCGCTCAGGAAGGAGGACCTGAGAGGGAAGGTCGTGCTCATCACCGGCGCCTCCTCCGGCATCGGCGAGGTCAGTACGACATATAATAACATCTATCTATCTATCGACGACTATCCTATATATATATGCATGCACAACCACCACCACCTGACCTCGTTGAGTTGGTTCATGCATTCATATTAGAAAGATGTATTGTTTTTTTTTCACAGAAATAAGACAGCTTTGTACTGGCGGTTAACTGTATTCCACTCACAAATAAAGTGGACAACACAATCGATCTAGTAATAAAAAAAAATAGTAGGCTTGAAAGGCTTGGTAGATATTAGTGTTTACCCATCAATTCATATCTTAAGCTGAAATTGCATCTGTAAGAGCTCTATGGTTATTTAAAACCCGTTTGGATCCAAACAACTGGGTCCTCTTTGGCAGACCTGCCTTATTATCTGATTTCTTAGGAAAGACCTGCTAAATATTAGCTCATGAAACAACTCTACAAGAGAGAAACACCCGGTAGTAAATATTAGCTATGAGCTAGATATGTTAGCTAGAGTAAACAGCTAATTTTAAGCTGCCTAGGGAGTAGTAGGCAAGACACCAGTTGACATATATATATTAGCTAACAATCTAAACAGGCTTCAACTATTTTTTAGCAACTAATAACTATTAACTACGTGGGATCAAACAGGCTACTATCCTTAATATATTGAATTTTGGATTAAATTTAGATTAAAAAAAACTGAAGCCACACGTTTAAACAAAATTACAACTATATCTAGCATTCTACTCCTACTAGTTTTTCTTCCTACTCGCTCGCATGGTTTCCTTTATCGGTCAAAATCTCCTCATATTTCCGATATATCATTTTTATCCGTAGGTACCGATAAAAAAATATCTATCTTTTTCGTACAAATTTTGTTTAAATTTATTTAAATTTACTTAAATTGAATTTGGTCCGATATTTTCGATATATCCTATTTATCCTCTTTATCTGTGACCTCCGATAAATTTTAATTTCCGAAAATAAAAACCTTGCTCGCTCGCACCAGGAAGGCTGGCCGCGCGCATTGTTCCTCACCGGGCAGTAGCTGGCGCGGCTTCTACTTCTACTGGGCCGCAGTCGTTGGCTGCTGGCTGTGCTACACGCACCCGTGTCCCTGCGCATGAGTAGAGCAGCAGCGGCGGCCATGGAAAAGAGAAAGACATAGCGAGGGAAGAGGAACACACATCGTGGGAGAGACGACGAGGGACTTTTTGGGTTTCAGCGTTGCCGTGCCCAGCCAAAGTGTTGGCCGGCCAAATTTTGGCGATCAAATCGGCCGTCCCAAATTTGGCCGCACATGGGCCAACAAAATCAGCTGCACCCATGGACCGCGCAAGTGGAGAGGAGAAGACGAGACGGTGCTGGAAGCTGTGCTGTGCACTATGAGAGAAGTGTTTCCGGGAAATCGTACTAGATTAGCTATTTGATCTCTCTCCTTGATAGCCTAATGAAATTCTTTCTAGACCAGCTATTTGGAAATCATTGGGATGCCAAAAGGATACTCTTTTGGAACTATAGGGCTGCGGGCCTGTGGCATGTGGGCGTGATAAATAGAGAACCACAATTGGATAGAGATTACAAAATATTTATATATGTATTGTGTCAGGAAATAAATAGATAAGAACACAAAAGGAGAAATAATTTTTGTTTGCTGAAAGTGGAACCTAACTAACTTCACGTGATCTACATTTCATTTTAGTGGCAACATAAGCTTTTCCTTTAATATTCTTGTGTGCTTCTTAATCATGCTTTGCACGGGTCCCTTGACAGTACATGTATCAACCATTAGTGTAGCAGAGTTGAAAAGTATAAATAAATAAAGATACAACAATTGTAGGCTCTTGTTCAGTACACGTTATTGGTGCCATCGTTGTATAGCATCCAACGGCAATTTTGCAGCATTGGTGCCGTCGTTGCATAGCATCCTACAACAATGATGGACACCGGAGTTTCAGTAACTGATTACCCAGTCGTACGTCTTTCCACATCCTTGAGTGCCGTCTTTTAGGCTGAATTCTGAATTATTTAGTTTGAAACACGTACGTAGTCATAGTTGTAGATTTGCATTCGAAAATACTGCAAAATTCTTGTGACAAAAAGGATTTCCACTTTGAGACGTAAATAAACACAATGCTTTCAGATGAAAAACAGGCTATGTGTGTTTTTAGTAAACACGTAAATATTTGTATTTTGGGTCAGAATTAGTTCTATACACTGTATGTATATATGTTGTATAGGCCACAGAAAGCCGCACCCTTTGATATACGTATTGAACGACAGGAGCTTGCCTACCAGTACGCGAAGGAAGGGGCGTGCCTTGCGCTGGTGGCGCGGAGGGAGCAGGCGCTCAAGGGCGTGGCCGCCGCTGCCCTGGAGCGCGGCGCGCCCGACGTCCTCGTCTTCCCCGCCGATGTCTCCGACCCCGAGCAGTCGAGGCGCGCCGTCGAGGAGACCGTCGCTCACTTCGGCAAACGTATCCCCCTGCTCGGCTCCTGATGAATGCAATCCATAGCTAGTTTAGCTGCATGGACGTACACACACTAACACTGACACAGCTGTACATATCTGTTGTCGCCTTCTTCAGTGAACCATCTGGTTGCCAATGCCGGCATCTGGACCAGCTGCTCCTTCGACCAAGTCACCAACATCACCGCCTTCACCAAGCTGATGGTAAACCTAGCTAGCTAGACCGATTCAGATCTCTTGGCTATATATTTAGAAGCAATAATGTTTTATTACAGTACAAATTAATTACGTACGCGTGACGACTGCAGGATGTGAATTTCTGGGGCTCTGTCTATCCAACCTACCATGCTCTGCCACACCTGAAGGCCAGCAAAGGGAAGCTCATCGTCTGCTCCTCAGCAGCAGGCACCGTGGCCACCTCCAGGATGGCCTTCTACAGCGTACGTAAGCAAACAACGAAACTGATCGAATTGATGGATGTATATCTACGGTCTGACATGGTGTACACGTTCGTGTCTTTTGCTAAATTTCCTGGCTCGGCATCGTCGTCGTCGACAGGCTAGCAAAGCAGCACAGCTGAGGTTCTACGAGACGCTGAGAACCGAGGTGGGCTCGGAGGTCGGCATCACCATCCTCACGCCTGGCTACGTCGAGTCCGAGATAACCAAGGGCAAAGGGATCCAGAAAACCGGCGAGGTCGCCGTCGACGAGGACGCCAGAGATGTACTGCAACAAACCCCTGTCTCTCTCTCTCTCTCTGAATTTTTTGTGCTGCTCATGCCACCTCGCTCACGGCCGGCTTATTGTTACATTTTTTACAGGCGCAGATCGGGGTGTTCCCGGTGGGGCGAGTGGAGGCGCTCTGCGAGGTGGCGCTGGAGGGCATCCGGAACGGGGACTGGTACGTGACATGGCCGTCCATGTACCGGCCGCTGCAGCTGATCGCCTGCCTCGCCCCTGAGGTCCTGGACTGGATGTCCAACGCCATGTACAAGGAGGCCACGACCGCCCAAGGGAGGCGGCCGCTCGGGCAGCGGATCCTGGAGGCCACTGGAGCCAAAAGGCTGTACCCGCCGTCGCTTCTGCAACCGCGGATCAAGACGGACTAGAGGCTATAGCCTATAGGAGGGACATGCAGATATGCAGCAAGCAGCATCAAGGGTGCAGGTGCAGCGCGCCGCGTATCAAGATTACTTTCATTATATTCCAATTATTGAAACAACTAACAGGGCTCTCGGACACAAATTAAATCCGGAGTTTCTGTCACAGTTTGTGATGTGTCCATGTCATGTCATGTCGATGCCAAAATGCGATCCAATATTTATTTATACATACATGTTTATGACTTCTTATTACTATCCGAAGATGAACCAAAGCCAATATGGGTGATATTCACTTTTACTTAGGGCCTGTTTAGATCAACGGACTAAAGCGTTATTGGATAATCAGCTAAACGTGGACTAATTAAAATTTTCTTTTCTCTAATGAGTTCTACACACCAATTAGCATCTATTAGTTTTGTTAGACCATGATTAGTTCATGTTTAGACCTTTTTTATTTGGCATTCAAAATATGGACTAACATTTAGTTTAATCCATCCAAACACCCCCTTATTTATTTGCGCCATTCTCGACTGTACACAATTTCTTGGCTACTGTTTCTAAGAATTTGATCTTGAAGGCTTGGGCACCTCTAAAGTGCAAGTTCTTCACTTCAATTCAATTTGGCCGTCGTTCAAAACTGTGTGGAATGCCGATCAACTAACCAATAGACACCTAGCTTGTCCTTTATACTCTGATAAGAACTTTACATTAGTGAATATCTGGTAGAGAATATTATTCTTCAATAAGTTCTGCTGTTGTTCTTATACAATATTTAATATTAAGTTACTCAAATCGATTATATTAAATATATGAAATTATCGTTTTTGTTCCAAAAATCATATAAATAAATATAAATGATGATGAGATGAGAATTGAGACATAGGGCCGGTTTGAAGAAGGAAACCCAACATGACGAATGATGAATCAGATATTGGACTCGTTTCGACACGGCCCAGCCCAGCCCATATAAATTCCCAGACCCTAGAAACTTGCAGCCGCGTCTCCGACCATCGCCGAGGAACCAAAGCGAGAGACAACCACTGCGTAAACGAATCCATCGCCATGGCGTCTCGTCTCGTTGCGGCGGCGGCCTCCTCCTCCTCCTCCGCGTCCCCCCTCGCCCGACTAATCTCTCGCCGCGGCCTTGCCGGTGCCGCAGGTACGTGCACCTTCCCTGCCCTTTCTCTAGATCTAGGGATTGCGGGCGCAGGTCGTTCGGATCCGATCGTTGATTGCGACCATTCCTGGATCCGTCTCGCCAGATTCTTGGCTGCGATTTAGTTTTGGATTTGGCGTGTGTTCATGATGGGATATACGTAGCCTAGGCCCGATGGGGTCGGAATGGGGGGGTCGCACGACGCACATAAGAATATTTGTTGTTTCTGTGGCGTCATATCGTTATGATTGATAGCTTACCTTGCTGAATGCTAATGGGTTCGTTTTGTGTGCTTACCACAGACGGCCATGGACCTGCGAGGGTGCCCTTGTGGAAAGATCCGTTGAGCCCGAGCAAGTGGAAGGAAGAGCACGTGAGTTTACCCTCGAATATCTTGTTTTAAGCCATTGAAGCTCACTTCATTGAGGTTTTGATGATCATCATGTTAGTATTAGGCATACAACCTGTGGAACCAGTATATTAAATTTTCTTTATGAGAGTCAGTCACTGAACTCTTGAATTCATTTGGATGCTTAAGTGGAAACCACATGAGTTGGCAACTAGTGCCAATCTTTTTGGTCATGTAGTCAGATTACAGGTTTACCTACATCTTCAGGTTGCGCCTGTCATCAGTTGGATCAGTATTTTTTGTACCTTCCCATATGCATTTTGTAGCCAAGTTCTTGAAAAATTGACTGGGACTGGATACATGCTTGTTATCTATAATACTTCATCTGCAAAACTAGAGCTGTTGGACGCTATAGCTTGTTCTCATTTCAATCATGTCATCGAGTTTTTTCCTGGTCCTTTGAACATACCCTACTTCATGTAAAGTACTTCATCTAAGTACCTTTTACTGGCTGCAATTACCCAACATGCATGCCTCTAGCCAAAATATGTTGGCAGGAAGTGTTCCAAAAACCAGTCAAGGTGGCCTGGCTACAATTAGGTCCTGATCAATGAGGCCAGGTGGCCAATGGGTGAGGTCAAGTCAGTCTCAGCAGACACTGAATCTTGTTGGTTTGCCACTAATCATTCCTCCTCACACAACCCTGATGTTGAGGGATCTTCTCCAAATCAAAACCTCATCTTCTCCCTCCCCCTTTCTTTCCTCCCCTTTTAGGCTAGCCAGGTCAGTACCTAATGATTCTTGAATTACACTTTACAGATTATAACTCCTGCAAACAATAGCTGACTCATATCGATGTATCTTGCTATCTTGAATGTGTTCTAAATTTCTAATATGAAAACTGGACCTTTGATGCACTGTTTCAATAGATAAATAAATAAATAAATTCTTTGGTGTACATTACGAGGACCTTCATCAGCTCTGGGAGTCGTTAAGAATTGTCTTTATGCAGTGTCTACAGTGTTGTGGTTTTATATACGAGATATGTATTTGATTTTTTTTGCACCCACACAAGGTGAGGTCATTTGATTTTCTATGTTATATTGTATCTTTTTGTTTACAGCATCTGCTTTTCATGTGTTTTCTATTAATCATAGTTGAAGTATTGCGCTCTGATCTGTTTATATAGCAGCTCCAAATGAACATGAGTTTCTTTTGTAATTAATTTGACCATGGTGAAATTTTTATAACTATGTTCCCCTCATGCAGTTTGTTCTAGCAAGCCTCTCTATGTGGGGGGCTCTTATTTACGGTGGTTTCAAGATTTTTGGTGGAAAGAAGGAAGACAAGACTGAGGTAATTCTTTAAAATTTAACCAGTTACACTAACACTTGTACAATGTTGTATATAGTAGTTGATTAGTTCCTGACACACTGATAACTAGAATGTGTAACTTAGAAATAATCTTTCAAAGCAAAAAGGATGCATCTGTGCTTAGGCCTGGGCATTAGGTTTATTGTTTCTTCGGTCGGTTTCTTTTAGCAAAAAATTGTCACCACAAACTAAAGCACTGCACACTTTAGTTTTTGGTTATTCAGTGGAGTCTTCGGTGTTTTCTGTAGAAATAATGACGTGGCAGCAAATGATAAGAAAATCAGGGAAAACAATTGGGGAGTGTGAGCTGGGCTTGGTGGCCATGGTCCTATGCTTGCGACTGGACCCACGGAGGCTAGCGTGCCAGTGGCGACCGTCCACTTGCGCACTTGACGGCCGCCTGTGCATCCACTGAGGTCCGCACTGTTGCGTGCTTGTCATGGCCTCTGGCTTTGCTCCCTTGACTCATTGTCACTGCCTGGGTTAGATTAGGGAAGGTGGATAACTGGATAGCAACGTGGATGGCGTGTGACGTCAGGAGCAATGTGGTCTTGGCAATTGGGCTGGGCCACATGGTGTGTGAATTGGGCCAATGGCTAGCGCGCTCCGTGCTCTGTTTGTTTGGTGATCTCAGTGATTTGGTTTCTGACGCTCATGAATCACACTACACTTCAAACCGAACAGGCAGGGCTTCTCCCATGACCCACCACACTGAACACCAACCGCTGAAAATTCCATAAATTTTGGTATGGACGGTGTGGTTAGTTTGGTGCGGTGTATTTTGCCCAACCTTATCCGTGTTACTAAAATTAGGCTGCTTATCACTGCCATCAGCGCCAACAACAGCTTAGTTTATTGTGGGTGATCCCACCACCAATGTATCGTGTGAGGTTAACTATTGCTAATACGCAATCCGAACGCTTGTCATTTTGTTTTTTACACTTCACAGTGAGAATGATTTATGAAATCTAACAGTTACAAAAACCTGATCCTCTGCTACAGGCGGCACCAGCAAAGGCATAGTTGCTTGGGACGGAGCTCTACCTATTTCTGCGGCCAGGCAACAATGTTAAATAAAAAGAACATTCTATGTTGTGCTTTCTAGTTGATAAATTGTGGCAACCAGAGATTTTGATTTATGTATGTAGGCAAGATTTTGAGAAGGTACACTTGCTCTCATCCACCATGAATAATCTTGCTGCAGTGGAACTTCATGTTGGCGAACACTGCAAATGTTGTACTTTCGTGTGATTGATAGATGTTTTACCTCGGTTGCCATCATCACTTGAGCACTGTACTTCCAAATTGATAAACGCACCGTGCTTCCTTTCTATCGTGCTGTTACTGATGAATTTAACAAAAGTTTGATTGATACGTTTATTTTAAGGGAACATATCTAGTGCAAACCAACCTCTCCGTACAAACCGTGCAAACTAACTGCGGGGGAGAGGTGGGAGGGGGGATTTGCAAAAGTGTAATTACGTCCGCTCCTAATTACACTTTTGTAAATCTCCCCTTCCACCTCTTCCCCGCAGTTGGTTTGCACGGTTTGCATAAAGAGGTTGATTTGCACTTGATACATTGTCATATTTTAATGCTTAGTTTGGAAATTGGAATATGCCGTTGTTGCAAAGTTTTTGGAGGTATTTACGTGCCCCCATAGAGGCCTTCCACCTCCACAGTGTGGAAGTGATGCCGAGAAAGTTTTGGACCCCACCAGCGGCGGTAGAAATTTGACCAACTTGGAATGAAAAAAAGAAAGAATGAAAACACCACCGCTTACCTCTCCCAAGAAAGAATCCCCTCCCTATCAAAAAATAAATAAAGAAAGAAAGAATCCCCTCCCTATCAAAAATAAATAAATAAATAAATAAAGAATCCCCTCCACCTTTTCCTTCGTCCTCACAGAGCATGAACAAATCCCCGATGGACTCGGCATACCAAATCAAGCTTTCCTGTCAAATCTTGCTTCACTACGGGCGTGATCGGCTGTGGATCCTTGAGCCAGGATGGCCAGGCTAGGTAGGACTAAAGAAGCTGGGTTTGTGTAAGTGGTCGTTGTCTTTGCTGTTAGTCTAGTACAAGATGGGATTGTGTTTGGTTATATGCATATATTAGTTTTTTTTT